ATAGCTGATAGCGACAAGACTTTCCTTCCATCGTTGGAGTCATCCAACATTTGATCTCGCACGCGGTCCGAGCTGTGCCACTGCGTTAGCACGAGCAGTCATTCATACTCAGGTGTGTTCCTGTGGCCGTGCTGCGCCTGTCTCGGTCTCTGGGCGTGCCAGCAGTGCTGTGTTGACGGCTCCGTCCGATTGCCATGAGAAGTGCGTCCCTGTTCTCACCACTGTTTGCGTTCCTGCACCCCATGAATGCTTTGACAGGCTCACCATCATCATGGCCTGTGGCAACTGGCTGATTGCTGGCGGTGAGGAGGGATGGAGGGTGGCCCCCACAGCGGCGTGGTTTCACTTGGCTGGCTCGGCAGGCTGAACAGCAGCGCGCCGTGCGCCCTTCGGTTGCAGCTGCCATCTCAACCTCAACCCATGCAATCCGCTCGCATCCCCTTGCTCTGCAGCCATACTCCTTCTCCTTACCCCAAGCATCCAAGCCGCCTCCCACACGTCTGGCGGCCAGCCCGCCCCCGTCCGCCGCACCCCGAGCGAGCGGGCCGCCGCCGTGTTGATGCCGCCTGCCAGCCACGCCATCCCCAGCACCACCGCGGGGCCCACCCCTTTCAAGCGCGCTATCTCCACACAACCTGGCAGTGCGCCACACGGCGAAGACGCCGTCGCAGGCTTCAAGCGCGTGCCTTTGGCCTCTGGGGGCGCCGCCTCGACCGCCGGCGCCGCTGCGGCCGACGGCCAAGACGGTGATGGCACCCCTGCATCGCCCAAACGGGGCTCGTGGCGCCGTATTCTGCTGGGGGAGCGAGCGGCTGCGGCCCAGAGCGCGACCACGGCCAGCGCCGGCCGCGGCCGCACCTCAAGCAGCTCTGCCCTGCTGGCCGGCCCTGACCCTGCCTCGAGCTTTGTCGCTGCGCTGCCCGCCGACGACACCAGCGCTCTTGGCCCCTAACAGGGCGGCACACGCCAACAAGGTTGGATCGGATGTGCAGGGGCAGCACCGCAGTCGTTGTTGTTGACTTATTTGCACCACTGGGCTCTTGCCCCGCTGCCCTCACTGCTGCCCAGCAGCCCAGCCCGCCTTCTCTAGCACGATGCAAGCAAACGTGCACATTGAACCCACGGCGATTGTGTGCTCAGTGCGTGCTGCCGTGATTGAACACGCACGCGCGCTGTTCTTATGCAATACAATACAACCAACCCGCCACGCGTTGGCAGAACCCCCCTGGCGCTGCAGCGCCGCATGGGCCATGTTTAATCTGTTCACCACGCAGTGACCTGCCGCTATGCATGTGCTCGTTATTTGGGATATAACGTGCATTGCTGCCCGCCGCGGCCACCTGGCCCGCCGCATCTGTGGGCCTCGACCAAAAGCCCAGGCGCACTGGCGGGGCATGGGCTTCGCGCCATCAGGCGGGTTGGCGCAGAGGGCGCACAGCCGCCAAACCCAAAAAGAAAAAAAGAGCAGGAAGGGTACAAGGCGCGGGATGCGTCCGCTTGATCAAGAGGCTGATAAGGGATTAGACATGACCTGCTTGCTGCTATGAATGCAGGTGGCATTTCTGTTGTGGCATCCCTTTCTTGCATCATTTGTGTGCAGTTCTTACAAGCCTGGGTGGCTCCAGCAGGCAACCGCAAGATCCTGTAACCCCTTCCTGCTGCGAAACGGCAAACTGACACCTTCGCTAAATCCTGTTGCGATTTCAATAGTTCCGGCGCAGTGGCCAGTCAGGGCTCATGGGGGTGGGGCACAGCCGATACGGCCCGGCAGCACCTGCAAACCGGCCCAGAGAACCCGCTGCGGCGCTGGGATGCATGCATTTGAGCGCTGGGCGGCCTGCGCCGGGCCAGGATCTCGGCGCCACGGGGCGCGCGCGGGGCCTTCGTGCGGCGGCCCCCGCGCGCGATAACGGTCGGGGCAGCGCGCTCCACGCTCGGAGGCGGTCGCCCCCCGCGTACAGTGCGTTTCGTGCGCGCGCCGGGGGTTTCGGGCCGCAAGTGACGAGTGACGTGCAGAGACGCGGGGTGCCCGTGCGCCCGCGATGCCTGCATGCAAAAGGAAGATGACCATCAATCCAACCATTTACTATATACATATTGGACAGGCACGGTGGGACTTGTCACCCGGCGTCACGATAGCATGCTCGGGCCCGTGTTCTGGCCCGTTGGGAGCAGCAGAGCAAACGTGCGCAAATCATTTGTGCTCTAAGCTTTTGCATGCGGCACAACGCAATCCCGAAGCCACCACCGACCGCGTGCAGATCAGCAGCCTCGACGCAGCTCACACATGCACTGATGTGACAATACGACCGCGGATACACCCTCAATTACGGCTAACACAATTAATACCAGCTGCGGGCAAGCAACCTTGCGACAATCAGCACCACGAACGGTGAGAGGAGCAGCATGACGCAGCACCAAGTTTGATCGCCGCGCCGGTGCATGGGCAGCAGCGGCACGAAAAAGAAGCGTGGCAGGGCCTCAGCAGGACACATACATGTCCACACATTAATTTGCACTAGCGGGCACGCACATGCCCGGTGTGGGGTTTGCACGCACGGTCTGTTGGAGGCACAAGGCAGGCCAGCCCTCCCGTTGCACCCGCACAGCGCCAAGCAGTGTACAAGGGCTCTCAAGTCCAATGCCGTGAGCCTTCATGGCTCCAGACGCGGGCAATCCTCAATTCACAACCTGACCAGTACCAAGCTGTGAAAAGTCAGAGAATTTGCACTCCCAGCAGATGCAGCACGAGCATCATCCTTCCCTGCAATTCTTTAGGCACAGGGCAGAGCAGGCAGGTGCAAGCGCGCCAGATCCAGATCTCGGGATGACATCATGATAAACAGCACACCAACGTGCAGCGCGACACACTGGCGTCAAGCACCTGCACAGGACGATGAAGCCCAGGCCGCACTCACCCGCCTGCGGCCAGCTTTCAGCCCTGGCCCGGGGGGTTGGCTGTGCCAGCACCGCCATGCGCCCAGGGGCACCGGGTGAGCAGTGACATCGCGGCCAGCTTGCACCCTTCCTGGCTGGGGGCGTGCCGTGCATAAAAAGCAGCCTCGCTCCCAGTGGACTCGGTGGGGCAGAGCTTGCGACAACCAGTATCTCGAGTCACATGCAGCCGACAACACTGCAGCGCGTGCACTCAAGAGACGTGAAATAATTTTACACTGACTGTGCGGCGTGAGCAGACCGCACCTGCTTGTAATGCACACATGCGCGCAACTCCTGGCCCGGCTCTTTTGAAGCGCAATGTCGGCCGCCCGGCTGCAGCATTCGTGTGGCCAGCGCCGACCGCCCGGAACGGCCGAAGGTTTTCATGCGGCACAAACGTAGGGTGGCTTCTCTATTGGTAGCTGTTTTGGCTAGCACGCCTGAACCAGTCACCCAAGCATTGAATTGCGGGCGTTGGCACCGGAGGCCGCGGGCGTCGGAACTCTCGGGTGGGGCGCGGCCTCGGCGGTGGAAATCCGAAAGGACGTCCCTGTTGCCGGGCGCGGGCCCGTCCATGCGCGGCCGCCCGCAGGGGCGGTCAAGGCAGGGGCGGCGAAAAGCTACGCTCAAGTTAGTGTGTGAGACCAGCAGGAGCAGGTGATATGAGGGCAGTGCAAATTGGTTTGAAAAGGGCAGCGAAAAAAGGGGATGTTTCAGGACAAAGAGGGGGAGCGTTTGAGGGACGGACGGAAGGAAGTGTCGCGCAACAACAGGCGTGAAGCATTCCACATGGCCGAGCGCATCCATGCATGACCTGGCGGGGCCAAGGGGGATCCCGGGCACAACACGTTCATGCCGGGGAACGGGTCCCGCGGCGGGGCCCTTTGGCAGGAGGCTGAGGTTGCGACATGCATACGCGCGCTGTTCCATGGCTGCCGCAACGCCCCTTGCTGTGGCGCTGCAAGAGCGAGAGAGACAGAGAGAAAGAGAGGCAAGGGGCGGCAGCCACGGCAGAGGGGGTGCAGTCGGGCGCACTTCAGCGCAACAGGCGCTCGAGCCGGTTGGCGAGCGTGCCTCGCTCCCCTCCGTGCATCGTGGTGCACAAGGTGGAATTTTTGGGGGGGAACCGGAACCTGACCGAAACTCGAGCCCAACCAAGCCCGGCTCAAGATGGGGTGCCGCGCCGCGAGGGCAAGGGGCGGGGCGGCACCAGTCAAAGCCACGTGCAGGCCAAGGCCGCGACAGCCGCTCCGCGTTGCGGCAACCGGGGCGGCCTGGCAAGCGGTGCGTCGTCGCTGCAGGCACTTGCGTGAGCCACTCACAGCATGTGCGCGGGGCCGCCCCTGCGGCATGTATCCCTTGACCGACGATCTCTGAAGCCCTCGGCACCCGAAACTCTGTCTATCCTCAACAAGGCTTGGCGCTTGGCGCGGGGGCGCAGCAGTCAACAGCCGCGAGCCACCAAACCCATGCACACCACATAGAAGGACGAGCGGCCAGCAGGCAGGTGTGGCCTCTTTCCGCGCCGCCCCACAGCTGCGGCGGACATTTGCTGCCCGCCTCCGACGCCCTGGCCAAGGCGGGGTGGGTTGGAAGGCAGACGCGCTGCTTGGTGCGTCTTGCCATGCAGGCGTCCCACACGGGAGCCTTCCGAGCCAAGTGTTTTTTTTGAAATGAAATATACAGGCCGCGGAGGAGGCGCGCGCAGGATACAGTGCCAATCATTAATCACTGACAGATCGAGCCGAGACATGGCTCCAGCCGGGCGCGCCGCCCTGCACCCATGTGCGCGCGGCGGCGGCACTAAGGGTTGCACACACACACAGGGGCGCGACGCCGCGCCCCTGTGCCGAAGCGCGGCGGTCACAAGGATGAGGTCACGAGGTTGATGCAGCGGCTCTGATTGTCGCAGCCCTGAGATATGGATGCCGAGACGACTCACGGCCTGAGCGGCCTGCTCTGCGCGTTCCTGCGCACCCTCAATGCACTCAAGGTGTCTGTCTCGGTGCCAACGAAGTGCGTTGAGGAGTCTCACGGCCCGACGCTGCCCGCTTGGGGCCGCCTCACGTGTACAGCCGTGATCGGATCGCGTCCACCACGCATTTCAGCATCGCTGCGCCCTCGCCGCGGCTGCGCGCGGCAACCGCCACCACAAGCCCCGGCTCCGAGGGTCGCACGGCGGCGTCCAGCCGCAGGCCGATCAACACCCGGCCGACCGCGCCTGTCGCCGCGGCGGGCGCGCACGCGTTGGCGGCGAGGCGCGGCAGAACGGCCTGCAGGTCTGCCGCCAGCGCCCGCACAGCGGCGTCCGGCCCCCGCCATTGCATCGGATGCGGCCGTTCCGCGGGCAGCGTCACCGCCGCCATCGCAGCATGGCTGCCGCTAACGGCCTGCGGACCGTAGCTGATGGAGGACAACACCTCGCGGCAGGGGCTGGGCGCGCCGCCAGCCGTGGGCGCCAGCAGCGCGGAGCAGATCTCGTGCAAGGGCGGCAGCGGGGCGGCGCCCTCCGACAGCGCCACGATGACCTCTTCGCCCCGCAGCCAGACCGCCAGCAGCTGCGCCGACTGCGGCGCACTGGCGGGCGGCCCCGCGCTGGCCCCAGCGTTGGGGGCGGCGGCCATCGGCGGCGGGCTGGTGCAGCTGGCAAAGACAGGCACCCGCGCTCGTGGCGAGGCGTGTGCGTGACCGGCTGGGCTGCTGATCAGGCCCTGGCCGTGCACCAGCCCCGGCGGCGGCGGCGCGGCCGCTTCGTCGGGCGTGCCGCAGCGGCTGGGAGAGACCCCCACCCGCGGGCAGCCGGCCGGGGCGCCGGCGGCGGCAGGGGCGCGCTCGGGGGCGCTCTGCGACGCCGCGCCCAAACCGGCTGCGGCGTCTGCCTGCCCGCCGGGCCGCGCGGCGGACGCTGCAGCCACGGGCGAGTCGGCCGGGCGCGGCGCCGGCTGGGCGCCCATTGGCGGCGGCGAAGCGGACGGCGTCGGCTCGCGGTCACGGGCGGCCGGGACCAGACCCCAGATTGACCGCAGCAGCTCGGCCTGCCATGATTAACGGAAGGGGGACGGATGGGGGCGCTGGTGTTGTGAGTAGGGCTCGGAGACGCGAGACTGCGGGCAAAAGGCGCACCATTCGCAAGCTGCGGGCCCCGCGACTGAGGCGCCGCCTCAACCCTTGGGCCGCAGTGCGCGCGTCGTTCAAACAAGTGAGGACATGCCCGCCAGCAGGGAACCAGGGAGCATGGGGGCCAGCGCTCACGTCTTTGTCAGGCAGCCCCGGACTGTATCCCAGCTCGCCGTCTGCCCGTGACGTGGCCACCGCCGCCGCCTCCGCCTCTGCCTGCGGCACGGCCCCAGAGGCTGCTGCGGAGCCCGCGCCCTCGAGAACCAGGGGGCTGCCCGGCTCCCAGTAGGGCGTGGCCTGCTCCACGCAGACCGCCGCCGCCGCCACCGGCGCCACCACGGGCTGCCGCACTCCACCAGAGCCTGGCAGCCAAAGGGGGTCTTGCTCCCGGTACTCAAGCTCAACCACGCCGCCACCCCCGCCGCCGCCGCCGCCGCCGCCGCCAGCGCCGCTGCCGCCGCTGCCATCGCCGCTGCCGCCAGGCGCCGCGCACGGCGCAGGCTGCGCCCGCGCGCGCTTCCTGGGCCTGCCGCCGCTGCCGCCGCCGCCAGCGCCGCTGCCGCTGCCAGCCGCGGCCTCGTGGGTGGGCCCACGGAGCCCCTGCTGCACGATGTACTCCTCCAGGGGCCCAGAGCCTGCGCCCCAGGAGCAGCGGGTGGGGTGGCAAGAGGGTTGCAGACGGGCAGCAAGCGCAGGCCTGCCCGGGCTGGAGGAGGCAGGGTGAGCGATCAAGACGGGCTGAGCAATGGGGCATCAGTGCGGGGTACAGAGGGGGGTTGGGTGGTTGGGAAGAGGTCACGGCGGTCGGGCCGCCTGCCAACGACGAGGGGTGCATGGCGGCTCTGCCCAGGGCGCCCCTCGTGCCCCACCTTGCGGGCTCGGGTTCTGGCGCCTGAGGGTTGCGTTCCACCAGTTCTGCGACGAGCGAGGGAGGCAGCACAAGGTAAGGGCGGGCAGACAGGACATGCAGCATGGAGGGTCGGCAGACATGGGGAGCAACCCCACAGCCGTCCATGCGCCACGTGTTGAAGCGTTGAGCGGGTCGTCGTCGCAGGGTGTCGTGGCGCTCTGGCGCCGGCCGCTGCGCACACCTTGACGTCATTCGCTGAGCGGCCGGGCAGGAACTCGCGCACGATTTTGCTCCATTTGGTGCCGAATTTCGTGCCGAATTTCTTGTGGCCTTGCACCTGGGGGGGGCCATGCGTGGGTGGCACAGGTGGGCATGGCACGTGCCGTCAGCGAAGGGCAGTGTGCCGCTGAAATGGAGATTGTGAAGACTGTTTGCAGGGGGGCGATTTGGGGTGCTGCGGGGCTGGGAGGGGCTGGCAGCTACCCACCAGCTGCCGCTGCTCCTCCTTGGTCCAAGAGTCTCTCTTTATGTTGGGGTCCAGGTGGTTGGTCCAGCGCTGGGGGTGCGACGGGAGGAGCGGGCACAGGCCGCGGCGCAGGAGAAACAGGGGGTGTGTCGGCCTCCAGGCGGATCACAGGCAAGTTGCAAGTCATGGGTGTTTGAGAAGGGACAGTGCGGCTGGCGGCGGCTGGCGGCATCAAGCTGCTCTCGCTGGTCAAGGGCGATCCCGCCGCAAAGAGGGAGCCGCGCAGCAGCATCCATGCGCCCAGCTCCGCCGCCCCTGGGCGCACCTCGCGGCACTGCTTGGCGGTGCGCTCAGTCTCGGAAGACTCGTTGAATGCGTGAGCAATCTCTGGCCAGTTGGTCACTATCCCTTCCTCGTTTCTCACCCCGACTTCACGTTCGCGCCTGGTGGGGTGCATGGTGGGAGAGGGGGCTCATCAGGGGCAGCCGGGGAGAAACGGGTGAGGTTGACGGGAGATTCTGCTGCCAGGGTTGTGCTGGGTGGGTGGGCGCACAAAGGAGGCGCGCGTCACAGAGTGCGTGGATGACAAAGTGCGCTGGGGCAGGCAGCGTACGGTGATGGTGGCGCGGCGCGTGGTGCGCGCTTGTTGGGGGGCCTCCCAGTGCAAGGCAGCAGGCAGCGAGGTCAGAACTGGCAAGGCAGCCCTGGCTGCCGGCGGTTGCCAGCTGCCGAGGTGACGCGCCTGACGAGTATGCCGTCATCCGCTGCCGACCATCCGCCCTTGCTTCGCGCAACATGGTCGCTGCACGTGCTCTGGAGCGCGGCGCCGGAACTCATGCTGCGCGCCGCGCTCGCGCTGGGTGCACCTGCCGTCCCGAGGCCTTGGCGTTGTGGGACGATGCGTCAGACGAAGCTGTAAGGATACAAGTAACCTTGTCGACGCTGGCGTTAGATCGCGCGTTGCACTCGGAGCACGCTGCAACTGATTGCTGCCTCTCCAGCGCAATGCAATTCTAGCACCAATTCGTGTGGTAACATAACAAGTATCGCAGTGCTCACAGGGTACATAATAGTTGGCGTCGATGTTGGTGTCAGCGTCAACAGAGTCCGGCGCGTGCGCAGACGACGCAGATGTGTCGCCGGCGCGCCGGGCGGCCTCGGTGGAGAGCCCGGCGGACATCTGTGAGCAGCGAAGGCAGCGCGCGGCAGCGCAGCCCTAGGTGAAATAAACGAGGTGATGCCTTGCGAATCGAAAGCGAGGCACGATGCAGGCGGCAAAGCACGAGACCCAACCCAACCCAACCCAACCTCGACAGCCCACAGAATCGCACTATACTCCTCACCATGGCGTCTATGTATCCGTCCAACCATTCATCATAGGAAAGCGGCATGGCGAGCGGACGGCAAGATGCCCTGCGATCGACGGAGACGTGCACCCAGCAGCTCTGGCGCGTTGTGGGACCTTGGCGTCAAGGCAAGCGCCTGAGCGCAAGAGCCTGAGCGCCCTTATCGTGTGAGTTCAAGCACAAATGGCAGAGCGAGGCGCAGATAGCTCAAAGCAAAACTCAACGTAGATTTTACGGAGCGAGGGCATCGAAAAACGTGAATATGTTCGGTGTAAGGAAGTGCAATGTCCTGTAATTCATATGTTGATCTGTTACGAGCCAGGCGCAGCAAGTAACGCGCGCACTTTCCTCCGTCGCTCCAGGTGACACGGGCCTGATCCGAGGACAGAAGCAAAGGCTGGACGGTGTGGTGCTCATCATTTTCAGTGCAACATAACGTGCCCTTCTGCGCGGAGCGGCGCTGTGTTCTGGGGCTGGCTGACTCGTAAGTGTCTGACCGCATGGCGCGTACTGTACCCATGCGTGGCAGCGCACCTGGGCGAGCAGCTGCATCCAAGGAAAGAGCAGAATCTTTCCAACGCTGCCCGCAACGTGCATCCGCGCAGTCGATAGCATTTGACGATTTCGACAATGACGATCGGCAGCACACGTTCCGGTGATCGCCCTCATGCTCTGCGCTGCTCATGAGCTCAGGGCCCAGCCACCGTGCCGTGTCCGGGCCGTTGCGTCAAGACGCTGATCGTGCCTGCCGCCTTGGCATGCCGTGTGCGTGCCCCCTAAGCATGTTCTCACAACCTTGTTTTGCACCGGAAGTCCCGCAGGATTTGACAAAGCATCATACTTCTTTGCTTTCTTCCGTGTTCATGTCTTTTGAGGCCTCCTTCCCTTTCACCCACAAACAGGAAACACACAGAAGGTTGGCCGTATGCTGCGATGCTTTCGCCATACCCCCGTGAGCGACTGCAGCATTCCCTTGGTTTTACACATTCATGCGACACGAGCAAATCCATGGCGGCTGTGTTTTGACGCTAGTCTCCATGTGCCTGTTATCGCTGCCTTCGGCTTGACACACAGCGCGATTGATCTAGGGGTCAATTATTGCGATGTAGACTAGTGCACCCAGCTGGGGGGAGCCTCATACACATGCACTTTGCGCCCAGCTCAGCCCAGCTCAAGCCGGCTAGGTGCCAGGGTCGGGCCGCTAGGCCAGACCAACACTCGGTCAGACGCCACCGACGGGCCGCGCGCTGGCCTGGCGCTGGCCTGCCCGTGCAGCGACGTCCGAGGACATGGTCGTAATATCACTATGCTTCGGAAGCCTTCCAGGCCCAGGTTCAAACAGGCAACCACCTTGGAACCCCACGCAGCCGACCAGCAGCCCTCAGGAGTACCGGCAGCACCTCGCCAACTGCCTGCGACAACTTCCACCACCCCAACCACCACCATCACCTCGCTCAAACAGCATGCAAACACCCACGTCCATGCCCTCTTGCACACCAAAAAACACGCCGCCGTCAACGCAGCGCCCCGCCACACCTGTCGCCGTCCCCGGCCGACCAGAGCGAACTGTCACCGCGCACGGCGGTGGCGGAAGCAGCATGCTTTCTCCTGGCCAGTGTTGTCGCAGCATGGTTCAGGCGCACAAGGTTGTGGAATAAACTGACATGCGCTGCAGCGCAGAATGGCCAGAGCGAGTCAAGTAACAGCTGCATGTTGGATTGGCCACCACCCAGCAGCATCCGAAACCCTCAGCATTGCAAACCTGTTGTATGGCTGCGTCCATTCATCCTTGACCCACGACCTGGCCAATACCAAGCTGTGAGAAGTCATATGGGTTGCACTCTGAACAGCACGTGCCTGCCCTGTGCAACTCACAATCGCAGGGCGAAGCAGGCGGATATGCGAGCGCGCAAGAGCCAAATCTTGAATTCAAGTTGTGAGAAGCATATTGATGTGTAGCACAACAAGGCTGCGCCGAGCGCCTGCACGGGGCGATGCAGCGCAAGGCGCGCTCGTCCACCCCCATTCAGCTTTCCGCCCTGGCCGTGGGGGTTCGGGCTGAGCCAGCACCGCCGGCGCGCGAGGGCAGCCTAGGGCCAGTGACATACCGGCTTGCGCCCACCCTTTTGTGGGGCGTGCGGCGCACAACAAGCAGCCTACACCCCCGGGCAGACTCGGTGGCGCAGAGCTCGCAACAGCCAGGATCCCAAGTCACATGCAGCCGACGAGCCGAGCCGCGTGAGCTCCAAGACATGGAAGTAGTGACTGACTCGCAACGTGAGCAGGCCGCACCTACTGGTTATGACACCGTGAACGCTTGCACAGCCCCTGTCAGAGGCCCGCCCAAAGGAAGAGAAATCCCTGGCCGCGCAATAATGACACTCGCAGGCGCACACACGACGCGCCCCGCGCCTCGTCTGCACATCGGCTGCGCCGCCCGAGGGGCGCGGCGGGCGCGCCACGCGGCAAGCCCAATCCCAAGCTGGCCGGCGTGTGCTACCACACGTCGCGCATGTAGCGGCCGCTGTCTGTGAACTCCTTGACCCACATCTCCGCCTTGGTGCCGCTCATGGCCCCGTGCCTCGACACCACCTCGATCAGCGCGCGGTGCACGTCCTTGGCCATGGCCTTGGCGTCCCCGCACACATAGAAGCAGGCCCCCGGCTTGCGCAGCAGCTCCCACACCCGCGCGCCCTCGCGCGCGAGGTGGTGCTGCACGTAGTCCTTGGTGCTGCCCTCCCGCGAGAACGCGACGTGCAGCGACCCCAGGGCGCCCGACTCCTCAAAGCCGCGCAGCTCCGCCTCGTATATGAAATCGTGCGCGCGGTTGCGGCAGCCGAAGAACAGCAAG